GACATCCCTTGCTCCTGGGTAGGAAGAATCAACATAGCGAAATGGCCATGCATCCAAAACTGCTACATAGATTCAGTGCAATCCCAATTGAAATACCAGGAGCATACTTCACAGACCTCAAGAAAACAATCCAAAAATTCATTTGGAACAAGAAGAGACCTAGAACAGGAAAAGCAATTTTAGGCAACAAAGAGTAGGTAGGGAGTATCACAATCCCAGACTTGAAACTATATTACAAAGCTACTGTGATAAAAGAAAAACAGCATGGTACTGGCAGAGGAACAGTTTTGAGGACCAGTGGAACAGATCAGAAGATGCAGAAAAAAAAAACCAAAAACGAGACACTCAGGCACCTCATCTTTGACAATGGAGCCAAACACCCTCACTGGAGGAAAGAGATCCTCTTTAATAAATTGTGCTGGAAAAACTGGATTTCAACTTGTCAAAGATCAAAACTAGACCTATATCTCTCAACATGCAATAAACTAAAGTAAAAATGGGTAAAAGATCTAAATATTAAAACAGAAACACTAAACTGGCTGGAAGAGAAGTTAAGTAGAACTCTTGAAGATATTGGTGTAGGAAAAGATTTTATGAACAAACCTCAGTTGCCCATGAACTAGCACAATCAACAAGTGGGATATCTTCTCTTTAAAAAGTTTTTGCACAGCAAGAAAAATGACCAACAGTGTGAAGAGACAACCCACGATGTGGGAAAAAAATTTTCACCAGCTGTTTCTCAGACAAAGGTCTACTATCTAGAATACATAAAGAAATTTTAAAAAATCAGACATCCCAAATTTAATGACCCAATAAAAAAATGGGCTTCTCAAATGAACAGACATTTCTCAGACAGAGAAGTAGAAATAGCAAATAAACATATGAAAAAATGTTCAGCATCACTGATCACTTGAGAGATGCAAAGGAAAACAACACTGGGATTCCACTCACCCCAGAAAGAATGGCTGCTATCATGAAGTCAACCAATAACAAATGCTGGTGGGGCTGTGGGGAAAGAGGAGCCCTGCTCCACTGCTGGTGGGAGTGCAGACTGGTGCAACCACTGTGGAAATCAGTATGGAGATACCTCAAAGAACTAGGATTGGAAGACCCATTTGACCCAGCTATTCCCCTGCTGGGTATCTTCCCTAAAGAATTAAAGAATCATAGCACAGTGATATGTGCACCCATGTTATAGCAGCACAATTCAGGATAGCTAAAGCTTGGAAGCAGAGCATTTGCTCATTAATGGGAAACTGGATAAAGAAACCGTGGGTTTTTAAAAAATAAAATTGAATACTTTTCAGCCATAAAAAATAAGAAATTAGAGACATTTATGGTTAAATGGATGCACACTGAGGCAATACTCTTAAATGATATAAGTAGGACACACATGTGTAAATACCAAATAGTTTCTCTGGTGTGAGAAACTGAAAGTATAAATAAGGACTAAAAGGTACAATAGGTAATGTGAAATAGGAAGAAAAGGGTCACAGGAGAATTGGAAATGGAAGGGGTAGGGGAAAGGAAAGAGGGGAATGGAATTAATACAAGAAAATGAAAAATATTGGAAACAAAGTCTTTGTAGATACAGAGGGGTGGAGGGGTTGAAGGGAAGGCAGGGAAACGGGGAAAATAAGAACCAAGATTGATTTATGTAAAGGTACAAATTTCCAACAATGAGTATTATTATGTTGTATACATTAAATGTATCGATAAAATTAATTTTTAAAATAAAATAAAATGCTTATGCACAGCAAAGGAAACAATCAAGTTAAAGAGACAACCTACACAATGGGGAAAATTTTTTTCCACATATTCCTCAGAGAGAGGACTCATATGTAGACTCAAAAAATTAGACCACAGGGCCAGGGATTTAGCTCAGTGGTTGTGCTCCTTGCCTTGTAAGTGCAAGGTCCCGAGTCCAAACCCTGGTACCAAAAAAAAAAAAAAAAAAAAAAAAAAAAAGAAACAGACTACCCATAATAAAAGACTCAATCAAAAATGGGCAAGTGAAATGAATAGACATTTCTCAAAAGAAGAGATACAAATGGCCAATAAACATAAAAAATTCAACATCTCTGACCATTCAAGAAATGCAAATTAAAACAACACTAAGATTTCATCTTACATCAGAAAGAATGACAGTCATCAAGAAATTAAATGATAGGGCTGTGGATTTAGCTCAGTGGTGCCACCACCTGCCTCGCAAGTGCAAGGTCCTGAGTTTGATCCCTGGTTCTGAATGAGAGAGAGAGAGAGAGAGAGAGAGAGAGAGAGAGAGAGAGAGAGAAAGAGACCAAATAACAAATGCTGGCATGCCTACAATGGAAAAAACAAAACCTCCTTTGTTAGAGTGAATGTCAACTAGGACAACCATTATGGAAATCAGTATAGAGATTTTTCAAAGAACTAAAAATAGAAATTGCATTTGGGGTTTTCTCCTTCTGGGTATCTTTCCAAAGAGCTAAAGATATCATATTACAGAGATATGTGTAGGAGACATCCCTGCCCAGTACTAGCAGGCTATGCATGGCTCATCCTTCTTGCCTTCCCTAATTCTACTATACTGTTTTATATTAGGAGTCAGACCGAAGCCCTGCCTGCCTCAGACGGGCATGTCAGCCAGCAGAGGTGGGCTAGCATTGCTCCTTTCCTAATGGCTGTCACCGAGGCCTAAGTCCTGGTCTGTGAAGTGGGAGGGCCCTGCTGAATTATGTGCAGCTGAGGTCAGTGGGGCCCCGATTAAAATCCTTTCCCCTGAATTATCACTTTTCTCTGACCTTGAGGGCTGCTTGCTAATTGTGCCTAGTTCCAGTACTGGTATCTTCTATCCTATCAAGATAAACAGTCCCTACTCCCTAACAACCCTGACTGGTGCCATCGTACCAGGTGTTCAGCAGTAATTCAGTAGAGATGACTTCAAAGCTCCCTGGCTCCCTATTCCTTCTCAGGATTATACTCAATAAATACTTGATGTGCTTGGGGGTTTTTCTTTGTTGTCTGGAGCAGCACTGATCAGGACCCAAGGCTCAGCTTCACTATGTATCATTCTCTTTATTCTTCAATCTTTTGTTGGTGCTGTGGTGGTGGCCCATAGGAAGCTGGGACCTACTGCAGGGGTCTCCAGTGACATCCATTCCCCCTGACCCTTAATGTTTATAGCAGCACCATTCATAGTAGCTAATATGGAATACTCTTTGGGTATAAAGAATAAATTTGAGGCTTTTGTGGGAAATTTGTTACACCTGGAAAACATAATGTTAAGTGAAATAGATCGGATACACAATTTCAAATACCACATGATTTGTCTCATTTGAGCAGTGTAAGGTACAAATAAACAGAAAAATATAATATTAATAGAATAAAATTTGAAGATAGGTGTTTTGTAAATGAAAAGGAGGTCATCCTCACCCAATGGTGAGGGTAGGGGGAGAAAGGGACGTAAAAAGGTAGAAGATGTGTCATAATGTCACACAACAAACACCTGCAATAAATGCAAGCATTAAATGTCACAAACATGAACTAAAGTAATGATGATGATGGTGATGATGATGAAAATGTAAATGTGGAGAGGAAATCTAGGTAGGTGAATAGCGAAAGGAAGGGAAATAGAAAAGAATAAAGATATATTATGTAAATGTACCTACTTCCTATGTAAATTTCATATCCTAAAAATACGTACTAATAGAATAAAAAAAAATAAAGGCCAGGGTTTTAGCTCAGTGGCACTGAACTTGCCTCACAAGTGCAAGGTCCTGAGTTCAATCCCCAGTACCAGAAAAATTTTTTTTTAAATAACTACATTTTAATACAATATTCCAATTTGATTTGTTCTGTAAGAGGGAGGAACAATGAACAAAAATCTCTATGTCCAGGTTTTTATGACCTTTTACCAAGATCCAAAATCACATGTATCTTGTACAATCTATTATGTCCAGATGCCAATACCACCAGTCAGAATAGAACAGAAGGCCCTAGAAGTTGGACTCTTGAGCACTCCAGATGCCTATGGCACCAGGGTCAGAGCCAGGAGAGGCTCTAGAGACTGCTGAGGACACAGAACCTAGCTCAACTGCTTCATCTACTCCAGCCTCACCCAGGGCCACTTTCTACATCCTCTTTACCAACCTATCTCCTATTACTAAGGGAATCCAACTCTGCTGGTGTAACAAGAAGTGGTCCTTCTTACCATCGTACTGATGCTTCTGTTTTGAGAAGTGGAAGGGTGGTTCAGGGTGTTATGAGAGTACATGTCCCGTTCTCCATGAGTGATCCAGCCCAGAGTAAACAAAAATATGGATTTTTGGGGGAGCACCCAGATAGACTCATAGATGTGCTTCAGACTTTGACTATAACTTATAATTGAATGTAGGCTGATCTTTAAGTACGACTTTCTACTTGCTGCATGCCTGAAGAAAATGTCCTTGTATGAATAGCAGCACAGGCTAAGGCTGATGAACTACATGCCTGAAATAGTGCCAAAGATGTGAGTATGGGTGTGATGCCCTCAAGTGCTCCTAATTCGCAATATTAAGTTGGAGGGCTGTGAGAAACATGATTGTATGATTACTTATTTGATTGAGAGAATGAGAAATGCATACATAAATCAGAAAGGATCATGAAAAGGTTAGAGCAATCATGCAAACAAGGAATACAATTCTGATTTGTTTCTGGGATGCTTAACTGAGACCCTCCACAAGCATACTGATATTGATCCTAACCCACAAGTGAGACAAGCTTTATTGAGATTGCATTTTATTAGCCAGTCTGCTCAGACATTTGTAGAAAGTTTCATAAGCAGGTTATAGGTCCTCAGACCCTATTAATGAACTTTAGACTTGGCCTTTAGTATCTTTAACAAGAGGGCCAAAATAGAGGCAAGGATCAAAACCCAGGAGGAATAACTACCAGTGCCAGAATGGGCCAAATTTATCACCGTGGCATTAGAAAATAAAAGGCTGCCTCCTTAGAGAAAGCCCAAGATTCCACACGCAAAGATGGAGAATATGAGGCAAGGTGACTGCTACCACTGTGGAGATGCCTGGACGCTGGTGAAAAGACTGGTGAGCAAGGCCCTTTACCTGGGATGTGCCACTCTGCAAGGAGAGAAATACTGGAAGCAAGACTGCCCTCACCTCTGAAGAGAGGAGAGGCTGCTTGCTTCCATTCGGGCTTCCCAGGAAGACTGAAAGTACCTGAGTTCTCTCAGAGCTTCTAACAAAGTGGACTTCAGCTTGGAAGAGCCTTGGGTAACTCAATGTGGCAGGTTAAAAATTAACATTCTTGGACACTGGAGTGTCATTCTCTGCCTTGCTTGAATCCCCTGGACCTTTTCTAATAAGGTGTGTGTTGTGACTGGTGTTGGTGGTATCCCTAAGGCCAAGCACTGCAGAATGTCTCTAACCTGCAGATCTGAGGAACTAATTTTCACTCAAGCTTTCTTAGTTTTCCCAGAATGGCCTATTCCGTTATGATGATGATTATTCTTTTTTTTTTTTGCCTTTCTAAGTGTGACTCTTTATCTGGCATCAAACCATTGACAGTCCCCATGCAACTAATTTTCACTCAAGCTTTCTTAGTTTTCCCAGAATGGCCTATTCTGTTATGATGATTATTATTCTTTTTTTTTGCCTTTCTAAGTGTGACTCTTTATCTGGCATCAAACCATTGACAGTCCCCATGCAACACTCTCATCCTTCCAGTACTGAAACTACTGGGTTACCTGCTTCTAAAAGAGGCTCACCAACTAAACATTACCAGGTTCTGGGTTCTTTGCCTCTCCCTTTGGAGTTAGATCCCAGTCCTTCTTGTCTTGAACAAAGAATTGAACAAAACTAGCAAAAATCAGTGACAAAGTTTATCTGAGAAAGTAAAAGCGAAGAGTGTGGGAGTAACTGGCTCTGCAGAGTGAGTGTGGGCCAAGTAAAAGGAGAAAAAGCAATAAAAGGACACTCTAGAGAAAGCAGAGTGGGTTACTGTGAAGAAAGTCATGATAGTAAGTTCTTTTTGTGGCACCTCTCCTTATGCTGGCCACATCTTGAAGCAATCCTCAAGAATATCTACATATAGGTCCTGAGAGGCTGTGTTGAGATCCCATACCTCAGGCTGAGGTCAGGTCTAGGCCATCCTATTAAAAGCTTGCTTTAGGCCGGGCCTGGTGGCACATGCCTGTAATCCCAGCACTCGGGAGGCTGAGGCAGGAGGATTGCTGTGAGTTCGAGACCAGCCTGGGCTACATAGTGAGTTCCATGTCAGTCTTGGCTACATAGTAAGACCCTGTCTCCAAAAAAATACAGCTTGCTTTAATTCTTGTGAGAAGCCCACATGCAGGGCTTTGGAAACTGTCCTGTGCATGTGTCTGGGATCTTGCAATTAACAAGTCACGCTGACTTCCCCAGCTAGCTTTGTCACACCCTACTCTCTTATCTGTAGAGAGCATATGTCAATGTGTAGGATGTAGAGAACACAATGCCTCCCAAACAGAGTACAATGTCAGTGTGTTCCCAAGAGTGGAGAGTGAAACCCACCAACAGTGACAATGTGGGAAACCTGATACGTAATCCCCCCAAGAGTGATATCTAACCCAACAGATCACCCTAAGATGCGTGTAACCCTGTTATCTAAATTCAATGTGTGGAAGCCTATGACGTGTGCAGCCCCAAAATCTACTCAAACAGCCCCAATATGTGTGAAGTGATAAAACCCGAACCGGTGCCACAGAACCCCGGTTAGAATGGTATAAAAGAGAGAGCGCAGAAGACCAGCTCGTCCCACTTGGTGACCGATCCAGCTCAGCGGCAACCTGCCAGACGAGATCTCCGACGAGACCTCGGGAGAGACATCAGACGCCTGCCCGGAGTGGAGCCCCGGATCAGTGCGGAGGCAACCAGATTGAACACTGCAATCACCAGGAAAGGAGAAACAAAGTCGCACTCCTCAGACTTGTGCAGGTACAGGGAGTGGCAACCGGTAGGTATGAATTAACATGTTTGATGTGTGACATATATAACATATAAAAAAATCTAGTTGGCAACTACTACTGTCTTGACCTCCGGTTAGTGCACTCCTGCTTGTGACACTATCTCAGGATGGCTGGATTTTGCAGGATATAGTTTCTAGTTCTGGACTCATAGCTAAGCCTCTCCATGAGGCCACACAAGGACCTGACTATGAGCCCCTCCATTGTACTGACCTGTTCCTGTCTGCTCCAACTTTAGAAATTCCTGATTTAGATAAGCTATTTACCATGTAAGAAAGGCCTATTAAGCCGGGCATGGTGGCACATGCCTGTAATCCCAGCACTCGGGAGGCTGAGGCAGGAGGATCACTGTGAGTTCGAGAGCAGCCTGGGCTACACAGTGAGTTCCAGACAGGTCAGTCTCAATTACATAGTGATCCCCTGTCTCAAAATACAAAAAAAATGGGCCAGGGATTTAGCTCAGCGGTTTGGTGACCCGCCTCGCAAGCGCAAGGACCCGAGTTTGATCCCCGGTACCAAAAAAAAAAAAAAAAAAAAAAAAAAAA